CAGCCGCCGTCCCCCTCGGGGTGTGGGTCCCGGCTAGTCTCCATGACTGAGCATCCCTGGGCCGGCTGCCGCGGCGCGACCACCTCACTCGCGGGCGCCCCAGACGCCGGTCATCTTCAGTCTCTCCAAAGGGCGCTGTCTCTCCGCGTCTGTGGGTGTGGCCAGGCGCGCACCCCGCTGGACAGCCGCGCGGGGCTCAGGCCCATCTCATCTCCAGGCACAGCCTGTCTCCAGTGTGGGCACAGCCGAGCGACGGGGGAGCTGCTTCTCGCGGGGGGACGCCTGGGCTCCACAGTCCTGGGCGTGGCCTGTGGGGACAGGAGGTCAGGGAATGAGCAGGCGCCACGCCACAGGCAGCCCCGAGTGGCAGGTTAGAGGAGCTGGGCCTCGCTGGGGGCGCAGGGGCCAGTCTCAGGCCCTCGCTGGGCACCGTGGCCCGACTGCGGCCCCAGCTGGGAGGGACCCCAGGGCGCAGCAGACCCCTCCTGCCTCCCGCTGCCCCCCAGCAGTGGGTTTCGGCAGACCCACCTGTTCTGCTCCCCACTCTGGGAGTCCCTCACATCCCACCCCTCTGGCCTGCACCCCAACTCTTTTGTGCGTAAGTAGAATGAGTATCAAAAAAAAAAAAAAAAACAAGGCCGCCACACAAAACGCCCCACGTTGTTACGTGTGAACATCGGAAAGGAAAACCAGAGGGAGCCTGGCTCGCCGCCCACGCCACGCCAGGCGGCGCCCCAGACCAGGCGGCCCGCTCGGCCCTCCTCGAGGTCCGGCGGGGTGGAGGACATCCTCACAGGCCGCTGGGGGAGGGCTGGCCACACGGGGCCATCGCCCGTCTCGCCAGCACCGCGTGCCAGGGGAGAGGGCCCCGTGCTGAGCGCCCCGGGATGAGTGTCCCCCATGGGGGGCACAGAGGCGCCCCTTCCCGAGGTCCTCCACGTGGGCCTCAGAGGACACCGGGGGGCCCGCCTGGGGCCGTGTGATGGTGACGCGCCGCAGCACGAGCCCGCAGGGCAGGCCCGCGGGGAGGGGCTGCTGCACCTCCGAGTCCTGCGCTGGCCTCGTCCAGATGCCCGGGAGGCGGCCGGCCGCTGGTGCCTGGGTGTTCCCGGCCCCCAGCACTTTCCTCTGGGGCCCAGGGCAGCCCCCCCAGGGGCGGGTCTGAAACCAGCGTGCATGAAGGTGCCGGAAGAGCCTTGGGGGCCTCCTGGCGACCATGGGTGGTGGACACAGCCCAGGGGACAGCGCCTGGAGCCCCCGTGGAGCACATGGGGTGGGGGCTCGGCCCTGGTCCAAGACTCGGCCCCTGTGGCTCGTGTCTGTGGCGGCGGGGCCGGGGCAGAACAGCTTGGGCCAGACCGGCCCCCCCACCGGGCGGCACCAGACGCACCTGCAGCCCGCAGGGCGCCCCCAGCAGCTGTGGCTGGACCAGCCCCCCGGGTGGGCTCCCGGCTCCGAGGCCCGCGCCCCAGCGACGCTCTCTCCCTCGAACACCTTTGGGGAGTCCCCTTGAGCCTTCTTGCGTGCCCGCTGGGCGGTTTCCTGGCTCCAATCGCCCCCACCCGGGAGGCCAGGAGGTCCGGCTCCCCGCGCTGCCGGAGGTTCCCCCGGGAACCCGGGGGGAAGGGTGGCTGTGGGCGCGGGTGCAGGCAGCCCCCAGAGACACCAGCAGGGACTTGGGGCCCGGACGCGGGCAACGGGGGCGCTGTGCCCCACCCAGCCCTGAAGAGCGCCCCCCGGGGTCTGAAGGGCTCCAGAGCCAGACCCGCGCGCCCTCTGAGCTATGCAGGCGCCACCCCCCACACTCGGGCATTCTCTGCGGCCGGCGTGCAAACAGCCTCGGGGACCCCACACTGCTCTGGACGGGCCATCTCAGGGCAGAGCGGCGTCTTCCGAGCGGTGGGCAGCCAGGCCGCGGCGGGTCGGAGGTGCCAGGGCCCAACACGGGCAGCTCCGCGCAGCTCTGGCGTGGGGAGACCTTCCCGAGGCAGGGATCCCCGGGGGGAGCCAGGGCCCCCCAGGGGGTCCACTCAGCCCACCCTGGGCTCCCGCACCCAACTTCTGCCGAGACCTCCACAGGCCCCTCCAGCCTCCGGCTTCCAGCTGGGGACACAGGGAGCCGGGGCTCCAGTCTGGGGCGCAGGTCTGCAGGGCCCGCCCCACAGCAGACGGCTCCGCGTTCTGCAGCGCGGCTCAGGGCCACTG